TAATGCGCGTTATTATATTGGATTCCTATTTAACGAAACTTCGGAAGATGTTAAGAGGAATGTCGAGAAACTGAAAAAGGGCTTTGAGGCAAGTTTTCTTCTTCTTAGTAAGGCAATAATAAGCAGTATGAAGCAGTATGGAAGACTCCCAGTAGTCCTGAGAAGGGGTAAAACTCACACAACTACGGTGGGCATCTTCGTGTTGCCTGCTTTATGGTATAAGAAAAATCAGAATTCACGCAATTTACATTAAGTCGTGTTTTTTTTTGTACAACAATTAAAGCCCGATATGGCAAGATCCGTGAATCTAACGTCACATGAGGAATGATTAATAAAATGCACGTGCAAAAAAATTGTGTCAAAACTGCAAAACTGCGCAAAAATATTCGGTAGTTCCTATGAGGATATTTCGATTTGATAATTATAATACATAATTTTAAAAAAAATATTTATATTAACCATAATACGGTATATTTAATATTGCCAATTGCGTATATAAAATTAATTCTTTTTTTAAAAAAAAAAAGTAAAAATAGTTACTTTAAAAATAATTAGTACTTAACTATAATCGCATACAGTAATCTTTATTTTCTTTATTTTCTTTATTGCGCAAAATAATTATTTTTTAAGAATATTAGATAAAAATGCTGGTTATACATAATTTCATATACAGTATACGTACTGGACTGGATTAGCACGTTTATTAATAAATGCGATCACAAAAAAAAAAAAATTTCGATGAATTATATAAAAAACATTACCGAATAATAACCATTTTTAGCTTTAAATACATTAAAATATTTATTTTTTTTAAGTAATTTTTTCCAAAAAAAAAAACCTTTATAGTGTCAGGGGGTGGCATTGTTGGCAATTAACTATTCGGTCTTAGACAAAAAGTGTACCTCTTAAAAGGGTGTAAAAATGACGCAAAAAAAATGGTATAAGCGTTATAAACAGTATACTAATCATAAACAGTGTGCAACAATTAAAGTAATATGCACGTACCTTTAACATGCTGTACAATGAGAAGGAAGACAAGAATTAATTAATAAAGATCATTGTAGAAATCGGTGACGCAAGATCGACGTGACAAACTCACGAATACCTTTTTAGATATTCGATTTTCAGAAGGATTTGTGAACATTGAATCTTTAAAAATAGGTTTCGAAATACGATTCCAACTTTCGAACTGACAACGCATGTCCTTTTGAAAAAAGTGAAATTTTTGACTCATTGTTTTCTTTCGGCATCCTGAAATCTTAAAAAATTCTGCGTTAGGTCGTACGGGAGATTATTATTCTAAAATGAATATTTGCGCATTACAATGAGACCAGCCCGGTCAAAATATTACGTATCTCCTATCGAATTCCCTAATTAATGTTCTTTTTGACAAAAAATGAAGAGTCTATATTGTAGTGTTTGGGAGGATCGCGATTACTTTTGGTGATATGAAATTGTTTTTTTAGAGTTTTCATTATGCAAAGATGATCTCTTTTGGACGGGTAACAAACAGTATATTCGTATGAACCTCCAAAAGAAGATGTCTTCTAGAATCATTCATGCTTTTACGAAATCACGAGCTCGAATGCAGCATACCAGTGGAAACCGGAAGTTACCAGAAAAAAATATATTTTTGGAAAAGAATTTGTAGAAGCTCAAATAGATTGGCTCATAATTTAAATTAAATTCTCTAAAGATTAAAATGGAAAATGGAAATATTTTGAAAATGAGGTGAAAGCCATATCAGGACCACTTGAGTCTTTCATTGTTGTAAAAAAAGGAGATAATCCTTTAAAAGCTTATCCAACGTTAAGCCATATTCCGTTAAACGTCAGTAGTTTATATACTTGTAACGTATGCACATTTGAAAAAAAAAACCCCTCAATATTGTAGATTAATACGTTTGTAACATAAACCACATTCCAACCCCTTAATCAGCTAACTTCGTGGTTGATTAATTTGGTTTTGCTAACAGAATTTTGGCTAATTTGGTTTTGCTAACAGTATTTTGGCTAATTCGGTTTTGCTAACAGAATTTTGGCTAATTTGGTTTTGCTAACAGAATTTTGGCTAATTTCGATCTTTTTTCATCAACTTCTTGCTGTCAAAGCCCCTCCTTCTTTGCATTATAGAAGCAATTATGACATCGAATAAAATCATATTACGATCTGTATTAAATGCATTGTAAAAGATTCATTGAGTAATATAAAAAATATTTTCACGGGTAAACCCAATTACCATGTAAGGCAGTTGGTAATATCGTTGTTTCATGGGTTTTTTGCCGGACATAAAACTATTTTTAGTCAATGCCAAGATTCGATGATTGAAAAACTGCTGCGCCATGAACGCTAGCAATAAATGATCGTTGATTTGTTTAAAACAACAATCAGCACTTGTACTCGTTTATTCAGTAATAATGATGGCATTACCTATGTTCGTCGATGGAATTAAAGACGAGCCTTGGCATTTGAATTTATAACTTACACGACAATCAGGAAGCTATATGGAATTCATTATTATCGCGCACGTATTCTGTACGCACTTGTAATTAAAAATTTTAAAAATTAGTTCACGTTGATTCCTTAATGCGCTTACCATGTTTTTACCCTTTATTTGTACAACACCACGCACTTTGTGTAATCCATTTATATATAAATATATGGAGGTCATCATTTGGCATAAAAAGGTTCGTATTAAAAAAAAATTATTTTTTTTTTCCTGTTTCTTTTCGTAATAAATCCCCCCAAAATTTAGCGCAACGAAGGAATTTTACAAAGTTTTTATTGCATACAGGCTCACGCAAATTTTGCAATCATTTCTCGGTTCAAGAGTATCTGATCGGATTGATCTTTACTCAGAGTTCCGAAAGTGTCAGAATACATACATACCTTTACCCGAGTTTCTTCGACGTTTGAGTTTCGTTTCTATTATATTTTCTTTTTTCGACATTCGATTAAATACTTGCATCTGCGCATTGATTAAAAACTCACTTCACCCTTCATAATCTCATCTATTAAATCTAATAAAAGAAATATTAGTTCGTCATTAAAAACACTCATCAATCTACTGTATATGAGCAAAGATTCTCAAGCTCACACCGAATAATTGCATTCTTTATGTCTTTCCTCAAGAAATTACTCATTGCATACTGATAACCATTGTCACCATACCTCATCTCTAACCATGCCATCCTCAATCTCAAAACGATACAAAACGGATTACTTCAAGAATTCAAATGTCAACTCTCCTTATACATCTCTCGACGAAGGTTTACCGCGACATAGTGCGTGTCCTCGTTATCACAATGGAAATAGCTACTATGATCGCCCTTTTTCAAACCAATATATTATAATGTCTCAGGAACGACTAATCAGACGAACGTTGACCCTAATCATATTATCCCTCTTGATGGCATTTGCGACCTATATATGGTTTTCTCAACTTGATCGATCGCGTCTCATTCCCTATCAGAATTCACCGGACAAAGATTTACCTTCCTATCCCATAATACCACCTGCTCGATTCTCTCATGAACAGATACATCTCTATCGAATACTCGGTAACGATCTGCCACCGCGTCATAAGCCTGGTCAGGTCT